AGTACAGTACAGTACAGTACAAAGAGAGAGAAGGCTAACCTTGCTTGAGGCAACTTCTGGCGTGGAGGACAGGAAGGCGGGTGGAGAGGCGGTTATTGTTTGGAGGGAGAGTCCCCCTCCCTACGGGAAGCCACGACCATGTGTCACAGCAGGGAAAATGGCCGCGGGTCATGTTCGTCACCTGATGCGGAGTTCATGAGTGGAAACAAAATTTTGCGAACGGTACTGTTCGTGAACCGAATTGTTCGTGAACAGAAGCGTTCGTGAACCGAGGTATTACTGTATTATCCATAAAAAGTGGCTCACTCCCACCATCAAATTGCTATGTTTTCATCCTTGCTCATACCACAGGCCAGATACACTTTTTTCCCCCCTTAAACACATTTTGAAGCCTTAATGAGAAATTGAATATTTATGTCCATGATCATGTTTATTCTGTCAGCTTTAAAGGTGTCCCCTACACCCACCCTTCTACCTGTGGAAGCACATCCACAGATCAGTCATTCCTGGAAGCAAAGCTGGATATATGTTCAGGCCTGGGTGGATTAGATGCCCCCAGTTAATTTCCTAAAATCCTGAAGTTGCTTGTGAGGCCACAGATGTCTTATGACTTTTGTCTCCCGCTTACTACGCTCAGAGGGACTGCTCAGTGGTTTGGCATCAGCAATGACTGGGACGGAAAGCAGCAGAACTGGCAGCGCAAGAGCCTTCAGCACTGCAGCCTGCGGTATGGAAAACTCAAACCTGCCTACCGGGAAGTAGAATTAACCAGCCAGGAGGTGCCTTCTTTCCAAGGTACAGAATCTCCAAAGCCAACAAAAATGCCCAAGGTAGGTGTCATTGCACAAGAGAGTCTGTGAGGCAGAGAAACAGCCATGCTGGATATGGCTATAGAGAAGAGGTTGGAGTCCCTCTTAGATGTAAAGGTTGTTGGAAAAGGGCTGTCAGGAAGTCAGGGCTTCATCTCCTGAAGGTCTCCAAGTTCAGCTCACTGCCACGTGAAAAGGTCTAGGATCAGGCAACAGGAAAGTCCCATTTCCACCTCAAGATCTGGGAAGCCACAGTCAGCCAGAGGAAATCCTACCAGATTGGGCTGGCCCAAAACATTTTGTTAGCTGAGGTGAAGAACAAGATGGCACCCCTCCATGCACAGAAATCATCTAGCTGTCCGGAGGCTAGCTTATGGCTGTGAAGGAAACTATCTCACATTCTCCCACCTCATTTGCCACTGAGGTGATGGCCTCCCTCTGCTTAATGAAAGGGCTGATCCTAATTCTCCCTTCCTGTAAGGAAATGTAAAGGGTAGTGGGTGGCCACAGTCTCAGGGAGAAACCTAACATCACCTGCTTAAAAGGACTGTATATCATCAGGCGATGGGAAAAATCATGGTTAAAGGGCTCAAGGAGATGTCGGTCAGAAGAGATCATATGAGGGGAGGTGAACCAATCGTTCACCTTAGTCTAAGGCACCATCCTAGGTCTATATTATTATCATTTAAAGCAACATTCCTGTTCCATTTCACCAGGCTAGGTGTGTGACTAATTGCTTCAGTTGTCTTATCCTTTCAGATTGTAGATCCTTTGGCCCGAGGCCGTCCCTTCAGGCACCCAGATGAACTGGATCGTCCACGCACCCCACATCCTGTCCTTCCCCCTCTGACTCCTGGCGTTGTGTCCTTGGCATCATTAGGTAGTGTACGGTCTGGCTACACCCGCCTGCCCCGCAGGAAGAGGGAATCCGTGGCCCACATGAGCTTTAAGGCAGCTGCAGCAATTATCAGAGTGAGTTCTTCTAGTTTTATGGTAAAGCTCTGAGCTTCAATTCCTTACTTCTTTCGATGATGGTGTCAAGTATGCACTGCTTCCTTATCTTTCTGTTCAACAACAGCACAACCAAAACTCTGGAGAGAAAACAAAGTTGTGGATATATAGGGATTCAGTTTAAATTTCAACTGGAATACAGGTTAAATCCCAGTCTGCAATTAGTTCTCCATGTAGTTTACCTCTTTCTGAGATGGTCATGTGTGTCTGCGGTCATATTGGATGGAGGGTATTTAGGTATTTTGCTGCAACATAATGTTTGATAGTTAAGGAATATATATCTATGCAGACCTTCCAAACACACATGTGCCTTTTTCATGGCTGAATAATATCACTGTAGTAGCTGTAATAGAAATGTGTTTTGTAAGAATGAACCAGATATTTGAAGCACTCAGAGTCATTGAGAGGTGGGCAGCACACAAGTTTAATATATTATTATTATTATTATTATTATTATTATTCTACTTCACAGTTTTTGTGAATGACTTTTCTAAAACTTCACATTAAATCCTAATTTCAATGAGATTAGAGAATCAGTTATTTGATTTTTGGAAAAAAAAACTGTTATATTTTGTTATGCTGTTATTTCTAAGCTCGTATCTGAACTTTGGAATGTAATTAATCCATGAACGTATAGTTTGTTTGTTTGTTTATTCAATTTATATATCACCCCCCCCCCCCCCCCCGCCAATCTCAGACCAGTTAGTTGCCTTAACAGATTTTGATGATTTTCGTATTCCAAGCTTCCTAATGCTAAGGGCTATGAAGTGGGTTGTCCTAAGAAAGATCAATCTCAAAAGGAAACAGTGTTTGGTGGGAACACAAATAGACATACAATGACAGCATAGTCCCCATATATGACGGGAACCCGAATAGGTGCAGAATTGAGGTAAAAGCATATTCTTAACTCAGAACGTCTGAATAGAAGTATCACCAGAGGGAGCTGTTGTATGGCACAAAAAAAAGGGTGGAGAAGTAGACTTAGCAACATTTGGCTGGAAGGTGGATACTATGTAAAACTATCTACCTCATAGCTGGAACCAGTATTAATATTATTGGCTTATATCCAACAGACCATGCTGCAAAGCAGATTTACTGAAGAGAACACTGTAACTATCTTGGCTTAAAGTCACTGTACCTCAAACCTGCTTGGATATAGCTCCAGAGTGTTCAATCATGTGCAAAGCCCCACGCCCTCCTCTTTTTCAGACATCTTCCTTTTTGGAAGGCAACTTCAGCGCTGATCATATCCCCATAACTCCAGCTGGAGTTGAAGCTGTTGATAATAGGTTGAACCACTGATGGTGCACTTTTTGAACCTGACCATTTACTATTCCATTTTGTTTCTTACAATAGGGACGTTCAGTTCTGGATCCTTCAGTGCCAAAGCGCAGGGGCAACAAACGGAGTTTTATCTATCCTAGCTTCATGGACGATGACGTGGTGGATGGCATGGATACATTTGACTCTTCCTTCTTCAGTAAGGCAAGCATGGTTCCATGGCCTCTCTGTTCCATTCTCTTCCTCTGCTCTGACAGCTCTGTTTCATGCTTCCATGACTGCTTCCATGACCCGTGTTATATTTGCAAAGGGAAGGAATTGCAACAGCGCAGCAAATCGCTTTATTCACTTTGAGAGATTTCTCATTTCTTCTTTACTGAATCTCCCTTCTTTCCCTCCTTTCCAGTTTGTGATGCTGCACTATTATAATTAAAAAACTTGGTGCCATTTCAAAGCAAGCCTTTGTTTCAAGCAAGTGATCGTGCTTTTGAAAAATCTGGTCATTACACGGTGTCTTCTGATCATCCTGGGAGAGTCTGCACCTCCAGCCCTGTGACGTGGAACAGGCTGCCCAGCCTCCTTGCTTAGATTGGTCAGATTTGGTCTGCAAAAAAGCAGATAACCATCAGATGACAACAAAGAGATATAGAAAGTTCCTAAGTCTTTGATGCCACTTTGTGGCCACCTAGATCTTTGCAGTCCAGATCTGGCAGTTCTGCCCTTGCTTATATATTTTTAAGGTGGATATGCTAGCATGATTATTAAACTTCAGCCATTCATGAGAATCCAGCCCCAAGGACTGCCCTTCTAGAAAAGGATTGGGATGTTTTCAGAGATTCCTTTTTTTCATGTAAGAAGTAAGTAGGCGCATATACCCAGCAGTCTCACATGTGGGTAAGATCCTTCCTGAGGCTAGGCAAAAAGACTAATTCAGCTCCAGTTCCCAATTCAATACAATTATTAAAGAAGTCAGGAGAAAGGAATCAGTAAAGATCAGTTACATTTCAGAATAAAGTAAAGCATAGACTCTGCTAATTAAAACATATCATACTTAGCTACATAAACTTTTTAGGAATGTTAGTATTTTATTATTATTAAAATGTTCTATATAAACTTTTAAGGAACATTAATGTTTTATTATTTTTTAAATATCCCTAACTGTAAGATATGGCCTTTTCACCATCATTTTAAAGAAGGCAAAAAAGGCTCACCAACAGGGTTCTTCTAGGTAGGTGGGAGTAGCTTCCAAGGCGGGTAATTCAAACTGACCCATGCTTGCCTTGAATTCCTGTTGATTTGTACTTGATCTGTACTGTATCTGTAGCATAAGGACAAGTCATAAGGAAAACAGCTGGGATATAAATATTTGGGTTGCTTTTGATCTAGGCATGCCTGGGCATGTCCTTTGCCCAGAGGAAGGTCTAGCAAGTGGGGAGGGGAGACTGGATCCATCATATCCTGCAACTAGCATTGTCCCACTTTTAAGAACTGATCACAATCTGATGTTTCTGATACTACATGAATGGTGCAGGAAAGGGCTATCCTGCAGAGTCTCTCACCATGTGAAGGTAAGGCACCTTCAACGCATTGGATGAGGGGACTAGTTTTGCCTGGCCTTGTTCCTAATAATTGCACTCTCTCTGGTTTGAAATGTTGTTTGTTTGACAAGGATACTATTGATGTGTAATATTTCTTGCTCAGAAAATATTACAACTGACTACTGTGCTACTGTCTGATTGATTTTTACATGTTCCTTTTATATTGCACCATTCACACACCTTGCTAAACTTCATTAAAGCTTAATGGTGAACATGCATGATCACATCTGCTGGTTCTTCCTGTAAATGAGCGTGGCTAGCAATTTATGGATGGTGCTGCGGGGAACAAGCCAGAGCCCTGGTTCAAACAAAATGCTAAATGATGGGTTCACGGCCTTTTAAGTTGAGGGTTGCATGTGGGTCTTGTGGAGTGTGTGCATGTGGGGCAAAGGGAAGAGTGGGTGTGGATGAAGGAAGATACATACATGTCCATGGTATAAAATACATTTTGCTTAATCATGAATTTGAATTTTAACTTACATTTTTGCAAACTAAGCTTCTACAGATTGTCAGTGATACTTAACCTGGGAGTAGCTAGTGAGTGCAGTTTGCTTATTGGTAGCTGAGCAATATGATGGCTTGATGTGTCAGGCAAACATAAGCATGACATTGATTGTGTATTTAAGTGCAAAGTAAATTGTCTACATTAAACTCCTTGTTTGATGATGTGAATTTTCGGTATTTTATTTGATTAAAAACTCAACCTGCCATTATAAAAAAAACAAGCTAACCCTTCTCCTTTATTGGTATCTCTGGTTAGCCTTTGGCTGTAATGATAAAATGTCTTTGTTCCTTGCTATCTTAATTTGTCATATGTGTATCTAGATACTGGTTTTTGAGCTAAATTAGTTCTCCCCAGGTTTCTGCCCTCCTGATGTGTCTGAACTGGGACTCAGAGACTTCCTTGCATGATTCATAGGTTGTCTGATTAAAATCCATCTGCCTGGGAATATCTGGAGGGCACTGGGTTAGGGAAGGCTGAGCTGAGCAACATTTATTCCTTCATAAAATAAGATATTGGGCAGTAATTCGTAATCCAGAAACCTCTTTGTGTTTGCTGGTTTTTCCATCAGATGTTACGAAGGTGTGTATTAGATACATAGATAACAGTGATATTTGCCAGAATGACTGGACTCTGGACCCCTCACTGAACAAGGTATACAGTTCTCATCTTAAATGGGGCCATGATGAACAATTTCCCTTTCTTACAGGTTGACGCACATGAGGAGATGTGCTCCATGCCAGATGATGTATTTGAATCCCCACCCCTCTCTGCCACTTACTACCGTGGACTTCCTCAGCAAGGAGACAGCAAGTCACCTGAAGCTGACCAGCCTTTCCAGTGAGTCTTGGAGACCCCTTTGAACTGGTGCAACAGGGAGATGGCACCCGGCATCCTGTTTGTAGGAAATGTATCCAGATTCATGTTACCAAATCTGAGCTATTGTTGCCACAATTACCTGGAAACAAAGCTAGATGTTTGTCTTTCCTATTCAAGAAGCAGTGGGTGGCTACTGAGAAAAAGCCTTTTCAACTGTGGCATTCCTGTTTTGGAATCTTCTTTCTGAAAAGGCTACTTTGTCACTGCAGCAGCAAGACTTAAGAAAAAAAAAAATCTTAAAACAAAGAGCTTCCATTTGTCAATGGGATTTTATCTGCCAATGAACTGTAAATTCTACTCATGGTTTTTGCTGCTTTTGGACTGGGTTTTAGATACATTTCTTGCACTTTTAACATTTATATACAATAAGTCATCCTGAGAAGTATTTGAAGGATGGAGAAGACATTATGAGTATAAGTATTACTTTCCCTGCATAGACAATTTTAAGTAGCTTTCCAGTAATGGGGTATCAACGTCTCTTCTCTCAGAAAATGGAAGCTTCCACTGAGTAGGGCATTGGAGCAGGGGGACTGGATGCAAGACAGGGCATATAGAAGAGAAGAAGCAAGGAAGCCTTTGAAACAAGAATGGCCACTTGAAGACAGTTACATCTAAAAGTTGTAAGGAAGGGGACTGATGCAAATACACACATAGTGGAGGAGATGAATGATTATAACAAAAATCAGGCAAGATTTTTAGTAACATTGATGCACTGAAGAATCAAACAAGTAAGACACTTGACTGAAATAGAATTTTGGTCATCTGATCTATTCCCAGAAAGAATTATCTGTTCAAGAATGCAACATAATTCAAACAACTCCTATTAATCTTATTATCTTTCTCTGCATAAAGTAGTAATTGCAAAAGAAAATGTGTTGGGATGGGAGCAGCCAAAAAGAGAACCAGTCGTTGCATGTGCTCATGATACTTCAAAGAAATACACATTTAGTGGGGGTAAATAACATTTGCAGAACACAATTAATTCTTAGAATCCTGGAATAATTCCCTATGCATCTCTGCTGCTGTCGTGCTGAGTTTTCAAATATGTCCTTTCTCATTCTGCAGGCGTGTAGGACCTGTTGCCTTCAGAAGCCTCCAACAAACAGCTTCCGCTCCTAAGAGGGGCACTCGGATTGCTTCCAGGGTGAAGCACTTTGCCTTTGACCGCAAGAAGCGCTACTATGGGTTGGGAGTGGTGGGCAACTGGCTGAATAGAACATATCGTCGGAGCATCAGCAGTGTGGTACGGTCACAGCTGGAGATCACAGACAGCCACAGGTAGCATCAGAACACCAAACTTCCTGGGTGACTCTGGGTCAGTCATTTTCTTGCAGCCCAACTGGATTGTTACAAGGATGAAATTAAAGAAGCCCCCTATAAATACCTCTTTGAACTCAGGAAAGAGTAGGATAGAAATGTAATGAATAAGTAATTAAATAACTCTAAGGTGCTGTTCACCCTACACCAGAAACAAATGATCTGTTTGTGGGTGGGCAAGGGAGAGGTATTTCAAATAGTTTGGAAAGCTGCAATGGTTCCAAAATTGGGGAAGGGGATACTTTGGTCTGCAAAAGAAGTTATCTGCCATTTTGTGTTCTGTTCCATGTTATGTCCCAGCTGCTGCACATCCATTCCGTTTTGTGCATCAAATAGTTACTGAATTAGCCATGCTTTCTAAATGTCTAGGCATAGAGTCTTTCCTAACAAAAGATACCAGACTGAGATTTATCTACAAAATCCCTTCTGATCTCTGACACTTTCCTCCACTCCTTCTTTCTTCCTTGTCTGAAACAGGCCTTACTTTACTTACTGGATCACATTTGTCCACATCATCGTCACTCTACTTATCATTTGCACTTACGGATTTGCTCCAATTGGCTTTGCTCAGCATGTGAAGACAGAATTAGTGAGTCTAATTATATTCCAGTACTGTTTACTTTGTGTATTTCCATGAAATATGAAAACATGAACGTCCTTTCCACCCCATCTTTTAAAAAACCTCTGGGTGGCCAGCTACAGTTTAAAAAGATATGTTTGTATATGTGCTTGTTTAGTGACTGCCTCGTTTAGCAACTGTTTGCAGTTACGACAGTGATGAAAAAGTAACTTGGTGACCAGTGCCCACATTTACGACCTTCGCAGGTCTGTAAAGCAAAGGAAAGCTGAAGTAAGATCATAAGCACAGTTGTGGTTTCACTTAGCAACCGCTTTGCTTAATGACTGAGTTGCTGGTCCCAATTGTGATTGCTAAAGAAGGACTTCCTGTACAATGCAAACCATTAAAAATGAACACTGAGTTGCTGGTCCCAATTGTGATTGCTAAAGAAGGACTTCCTGTACAATGCAAACCATTAAAAATGAACTGTAAAGCAAAGGAAAGCTGAAGTAAGATCATAAGCACAGTTGTGGTTTCACTTAGCAACCGCTTTGCTTAATGACTGAGTTGCTGGTCCCAATTGTGATTGCTAAAGAAGGACTACCTGTACAATGCAAACCATTAAAAATGAACCCTGCTTAACTAAGAATTAAAGATTAATTACAAATGGAGATTTCTGAAGTAAAATTCAATCTTTCTCCAAATGTTCAGTGGAACAATATGGTTCTTAACTAATATTTTAAGAATTAAAAATAATCAAATCTACTGAACTAGCCATGCACTGATCTTTGTATCAACCAGTTGAGTTTAGGCAATGCTGACACTGGAAGCGGGATTCTGTCTGCTGTTCTAAACCAGCCTTTCTTAATCAGTTGCCCTGCAAATATGTTGGAACTATTACTCTCAGAATTCTCAGCCAGAATGGACAACAGCTGGATCAGCTGGGAATTTTAGCCCCAGTAGATCCAGAGGGCTCCAACTTGGGGAGGCTGGCCTGAGCATCTGAGGACATACCCTGGATTTAAACTCTTTTGAAAGTTTGAAAGTTCAAAATGGCAGGTCAAACTGGACCTGGAAACTAACTCCCTCCCAATGTAGATCTTACGAGAAATCTTCCATACATCTAGTAGACCCAAACAGATATGGTACAACATTCTGTGGCAGCTGGAACTTCCAGAAAATCTTCAGAGTCCTTCAGAGTCCACAGATAATATTCTGTGTTGAATGATACTAGTTGGCCTAGTGCCAAAATCTAAAATCTGCAGCCAGAGAAACTAAGATTTGCATACCTTTCTTCTAGCAATATAAAAAAGGCAATAATTGAGCTAAGATTATTTGATGCAATCTATCCAGAAGGAATGCAAGATTATAGATTCAAATACAGATTAGCAAGAACAAATTGAGTTGAAATAGTTTCTCTCGAGTAAGTCTTCTTCAGTTTGCTATGAAACCTTGTCTATCTTTTTGTGAGAGATTTTGAAATTGTGACACACTTAGAAAGTCACTCCCTCTGGCATCTAACATTTGCAGCTGTGGGGGGAAAGTCCTATCTAATCTGTCTGTGCTTTAGAGTACTTATCATTTCTCTTATTTTGGAACTTTACCATTACTTTGCAGATACTACGAAACAAAGGCGTGTATGAGAGTGTGAAGTATATCCAGCAGGAGAACTTCTGGATTGGCCCAAGTTCGGTAAAGGCTGTCCTTCCTTTTTTCATTGCTTTCTTCTTCTTAAAGGAAATTTGTGCCATATGTTACTCCAAGTGACTTGTGGCATAAGAAGTCTGTAACTTCCTGGTCTGAATTGATTGTACCAGCTATAACAGAGGTAGAGAACCTATCACTCTTCAAATGTTGCTAAATTACAATTAAGCAGCTTCCCTCATCATCAACCAAGCTGTACAAGTAGTCCTCGACTTATGACCACAATAGGGACCAGAAAATTCATTGTAAAGTGGTATGGTCATTAAATGAGATATCATGTGACTGCACCCAATTTTATCACAATTTTTGCAACAGTCATTAAGCAAATCACTGAGATTGTTAAGTGAACCACGTGGTCATTAAGTAAATCATATGGTTCCCCATTTATTTTGCTTGTTGGAAGCCGGCTGGGATGGTCGCAAATGGTGATCATGTGACCCCGGGACACTGCAACCATTGTAAATATATGCTGGTTGCCAAGGTCCCGAATTTTGATCTGTGACCATGGGAATGCTGCAACCGTCATAAGTGCAAGGACAATCGCAAGTCACTTTTTCAGCACCATCGTAACTTCAAACAGTTGCTAAATGAATGGTCATAAGTCAAGGACTACCTGTAATTCAGTAGCTTGTCATCAGATTTCAGTAGCATGATTTCGCAGGCTCTGCAGATTCAAAAAATGGATGAGAGCGACATGGTGCTCACAGGTTGCCTATTCTTGCCATTGGAGACGCATACTCCAGTTTCTCATATGATCGCCAGCTACACCACATGAAAATTAAACTGCTCCCCATCAATGGGTATGTTCTCCATCTCCATTTCTCTCATATTTTTTTCAACCCTAATTGGAAAAATATGCCAGGAAAAGAAGTATTTGGATGCCAACTGAGAATTTTAACTCTTCCATGGAATTACCAAGAAGAGTGAATTATTTTACATTTACATGTAAGAGTTGAAAAGAAGGGACATATGCAAATTCTTCTGGAATGCACAACACATATTTCTACTTAATCCAGCCTTTCCATGAGAACCAGAAGAGGAAGAATCTGTTAGTTGCGCTTTTATGTTTATTACTGTTATGGAACATGCATAGCAATCTATCCACCCTCCATAACAGTAACAAAAGGGAAAATGCAGCTTAGCACTTTTAGTCACCTCAATGTGCATAGCTTTTGCTAAAGTCCTCCACTACTCACTGCAATGTAACCTGGGGAGAGGTTACATTGGCATAAATCCTTGTTTGTTCAGTGCTTTTTACACTATCACTTTCTATTTCAGATTGACTTGATCCATCTGGGAGCCAAGTTCTCCCCCTGTATCCGGCAGGACCAACAGATTGAGAAGCTGATCCAGAAAGAAAGGGAACAAGAGCGCCATTCTGGCTGCTGTGTCCAGAATGATAACTCTGGTTGTGTTCAGACTCTGCGTGCAGATTGCTCAGTAAGAGCAGTATTCTGACAGTTGTTCTTTGGTGATAGCTAACTCCTTTGAAATTGGATAATGACCTCCTTCAAATTGGGATTTGAAATGAGTTGGGACTGCAACTCCCAGAATTCCCAGCCAGCAGGTTTCAAGTTAAAGAAGGCTTTCATATGACTTTCATGAACTTTAAGAATCATGGTTTAATTCTGCCATTTTTGCTGTGAGGTTAGTGGTCACAGTTTTCTGGAAATAAGGCAGAGAAAACTACTAAAATGAGCACTTAAATTTTATTGAAGCAATCTCCTTTCAAATATTGTAAACATTTGCATAATTCTCAATTTTTTATGGGCTACGCCTGGCATATAATTAATATAATTACTGTAAATTTTAGTAATAATTGAAGCCCCCCAAACTCCTAGATCTTTTTCTTTTTTTAGTTTTCTTGTACTATACTTAGTACTTTGTACCAGGGTAGTCTCCTTAAATAACAGATTCTTAGTGGTGATGACAATAATCATAAGAGAGATCACATATGTGGGAGAAAAATTTATGATCAGGCTTCTGGTGGGATGTTTATTCCTTTAAAAAAATGTGAATATATATTACAGAAATATTACTTGTGGATGCTGTGATATGTCCTTTACAAAGTCATTGTTTCTCTATAGGAAACATTGGCCACATTTGTAAAGTGGCCAGATTGTAATCCTCCAGCTGTTGACCCCAGCAGTTCAAGTCTGAGAAGGATATCAGGAGCAGTGTGTTCTCAGGACCCCAGGTGAACTTATGGCATGCACATCTCCCCCTCAACAAAGGTCTTGTGCATTCTGAATAAGACAAGAGTGGGAGGCATGGAATGTAAGAATAAGAGCATTTCTAACTCTTCACTGCTGTCTGTCTGTCTTCCAACAGGACCTGTGAGGAACCAGCTTCAAATCCACCTCACATCTGGCCAGATGACATCACCAAGTGGCCAGTAAAGATTCCTTCCTTTCTACCTATCTTCCTTCCTTCCTTCCTTTGAAAGAACTGAGTCTCCCTGAAATTAACAGGGCTTAAATGAGTCATCATTGTCAATTGTCTCACTAATTTCTGCATTGCCTGAAAACCATCTTTATGTGCAGATAAGAAAGAAGGAAGCTGTTTGAGCTGCTTGCTTGCCTGGTTACCTGGTGCAGCACAGGCTGCTTCATAAGACAAGTCTGTCTTATGAGGGAAGGAACTGGGATTTCCTGCATGCATGCATGCATGGTTTTTCTGAGTAATACCCATTTACCAAGTTCAAACAGGGAAGACTAACACCCTGGCTTCTTACATGGAATGAAAGATTGAATCGTGGCAAAAGGGTTTCTAGAACCACATAAATTAGGATAAAATGGAAGGAAAGCTGCAGCTGTGTAGAGGAAAAAATTGCAGTGTAGGAACTGTGGAGTCCTTGGGGCTCTCTGAGCTTGGTTGTTCGCTTGTAGATGTTTCATTACCCAACTACATAATGTCATCAGTGCTAGTGAATGTGGGTTTTGCTTCCTGTTTATATATAGCAGCTTGTCCTGCTAATGTTGGTGGGGGTGTGATTTTCTCCTTGGTAGTTCCTTGATTAGGGTATTGCTTTCTGCTTGATTTGGTGTTAATCCCTGCTTATCTGGGTGTTGGCTGCTGAAGAGGATGTGCTCTGGTCTTTTTGTTTCCTTACCTTTTTTTTATTGTCTCTATTGAAAGGTGTATAAATATGGTTTATCACTATGTGTTTATTGATGGCTGATTTGTCTGAATGCCAAGCTTCCAGGAATTCCCTAGTGTTTTTGGATTTAGCTTGGTCTAGGATGCTCACAGGTTCCT